TTTTCAAGAAACCTTCTCAACCATATTATTTCTTGTGCGGCATCCGAAGCTTCAGATTCTGTTGTGGTTATTGCAACACACTTTTGCCGTTGAAATGTCCATGTAATTGGACAACCTGTAATAGGGGAGCCCAAGCGGGAATTTCGGTACTTACTAAAGCGCAGCAGATTAATATACAGGGGGATACCTTGTACCCGGTTAAGTATCTCCACTAAATATGAGCCCCATATATAAGGCCGCCCGTGAAGGATATAGGATCAGATTAGTAAAAAAAAATTGATCATCAGAAATTCTCGAGCGCGTCAGATTAATGTAGGGTGAGTTAATTACATGCTAAAAAGTGTATATTCCAGTAATCTGACAATTTGAGAGTGACGTAAAGAAAGGGGAGGGCAGCAAAGTTGTAAAAAAATAATATAATTTCGACATTCTTGAGCGTAGATAATTTTTTTTTATTTTGAAGGAAATGATTCTAAGATAACGAAAAATATATAATCTGACGATTTCTGCAAGCCAAAATAACAAAAATTCGTCGATAAAGTTTAATGCGTGCAGCTGTGCGATACCTATATTTCCCTCTCGAGTTTCTATTCCTCTTTCACTTTTTCTCTATCTATTACTCTCTCACTCCATCCCCACTCTGAATTCTGTTGCCATGACGCAATCACAGCTGATCACAGAGACGCGTTCGTGATGAAGATGATGATTAATAATTCAATTGATTATAAACAATTTTTTTATAAATACAAGTATTCTACTTAAAAAACATAGGTACACTTATTTATTTGCATGCTATTTCCTGAACTTTTCAATTGATTAAGTTCAATGATTTAAAAAAATATTTTTTTTTGTCAGATTAGGCAAATCTCTCTAGATAATCGTCAGATTATGAGACAGCACGTCTAGAACATAAAGATGAACGATATATATCTTAATCTGATGCGCTTGAGTATTTCAAAATGGTGAATTTTTTTTGCACATTATAATAATGGCCGCGAGTTTGCGTCAGATCGAAATCGTCAGATTATTGAGTGAGAGCTTTTTTTTTGTTGCAAACACCCCCTTAGAAAATCTGGCGCTCGATTAAATTTTTTTCTTTTCACTTTTAACCCTTACGTACAACCACCCGCATTATGCAAATGATCAGATTAACATACGAACATTATTAAAAATACGTAGGACATTGATGCTATCAATATCTGACGCGCTCGAGTATGTCCACGCAACAGTATTTTTTTACATATTTAAAAATCTATAGCCGCTTACCCCATCGATGAAAAGGTATATATTATATAGCATTTTTTTTCTTATTATCTAAGCTTTGCAACCTAATATGTTTCTATGGCGCTCGAGTAAATCCCCATTTTGCATCGTGGGCTCCCCTACTACTACTGATAATGAAGTAACAGCCAGTTATTGAATACCTAGTAGCTTTCGTCGCTCCCATTGTATCGAATTCTGTAACTTTTAGTGCCCTTTTAGGTATCTGAAAATACGTTTCACTACTTTCCAGTACTGGTTTCTTGAATTTTCCAAATATCTTCTCACTGAGAATGATATATCTGGATGAGTTACAACCACTAAAAACATGAAACATCCTATAGCTTCTATGTACGGAATATTTTTAATATATTCTTTTTATTTTTCATTTTGGGGGCTTTGAGCTGCATTCAGAATAACATTTGGATCGGCTGGTATTGTATTCGATTTACATTCTGACATTTGAAATTTTTCTAAACATCGCTGTACGAATCTTTTTTGACTGATAAATATTTGTTTTTTGCTTCTATTCCGACTTATTTCCACACCAACAAAGAATTTCTAAAATTACGATAACATTCAATGACGTAGACACACATGACAGCAGATATGGCAAGAAAAATATAGTAACCATTGATTTCACTATAAAATACACGTCTATCTGTTTCAAAATATTTGAAAGGAAATGATGTCGGAAACGTTACAAATTTTGAGTTCCAACAATGGGAAGACTGTTTCAGACCGTATAGACTGTTGTTCAGTTTACGCACTAATGAATTATCTTCCGATTGAAAACCTTTTAGTGGAATCACGAAATTTTTTTATCTAAATATCCATTAAGAAAAGCACTTTTGATGTCAAATTGTCGAATTTCCATGTCCAGTGTAGCTCATATGGCCAGAATTATTCTTAAGGAGTCATATCGAACTACTGGTGAAAAAGTTTCAGAGAAATCAACGCCAGCTACTTAGAGTACCTTTTTGCACACAGTCTTGCCTTAAAATAGTTCCATCAGGCTTGCATTTCACTTTGAAAACCCACTTGCATCCTATCGGTTTTCTATTATTGGGTAATGAAACTAAATTCCAAGTGTTATTTTTCTTCAAGCACTCCATTTCTTCAATCATTGCTGTCTCCGATCTTTTTCGTTGCTTGTTACCGCTTCTCGATATGTTTGAGGTTCTATAACTGCTGCACAAGCAATTACGAAATCTTCATAATGGTATGGTTGATTTATACTACATCGATCTCGAAGTTGTCTTCCAATCTCTTTATCCCTTGAATGTGTTTCTTGGGTACTCATTTCGATTTCTCGTTGGATCAAGTTCAGTTCTGGTTTAGACGAAGAATCCGACAGAGTTGTGTCTGGTATTTCAGGATATTGAAGGCATACAAAGAAAATTATATGAAAAATATTTATCATCACCAATCATGGACGAATTTTTGGTAATATCGTTGATAATCACGTTTCGCGTCACTGATATTTTCTTTGTTACTGGGTCAAATAGACGATAGTTTGAACTGGTACCTTCGTATCCGACAAAAATCAACTTCATCGAATTATTCTCTAATTTAGTTATTCAACTGTTTCGGTACATGAGAGAATGCTTCACTGCCAAATTTCTTCAAGTAATTCAGTTTAAGCTGTTTGTCTGTTCATTTCTCAAATGGTGTTCGCTCTTTATCTGGTTTACATGGTTTTCTATTGAGAATATATACCGCTGTGTTTACTGCCTCGGTCCATAATGTTCCTGGTAAAGATGTCTTGTTCAGCACAGCTCAACCACTGTAGACAATAGTTCCGAGATCTCTTTCGGCTTTACCATTTTGTTCTGGGATATACGGTGCACTGATTTCATGAATAATGCCTATTTTCTTGAAGTAGTCATCGAATTGGTGATTTACATATTCTGTCCCATTGTCGGTTCGAAATATTTTGATAGTATTACCAGTCTGCCGTTTTACTAGTTTCTCGAACTGTACAAACTTTGAAAATACATCCAATTTGTGTCTGATGAAATATATACTTGACGACACGAGGTGCAATCATCCTTCAATAAAAGGAAATATTTTTTGCTCCACCAACTGAAGTTGACAACATTTTTCCGCATACATCCGAATGAATGGATTCACCTGGATTGTAACGGCGTTGATGCGGATTTTCTGTTTACCATATTGGCATGATTCGCAAGACAGATCTTCGAACCTGGAATAAGTCCACGGTTTGCAACTGCATAAACTTCAATGAAACCCACGCCTTCAGCAATTATTACTGAGTTATCACACCAGTTGGATTTTGGATAACGTAGATATTGAAGATCGGTAAACCATTCACGATGAAGAGTCGTATGTTTAGAAGCTGCGCAGTCTGCAAGCCAAACATCTTCATAACCCTCTATGCATATATTTCTTTCTTCTGCACCGAACGCTTGGAATTTCTGATCTTGTTCATTCTCCCCGCATCTGCTTATTTCTGACAACCGTTTTCGACATTCTGCCTTTATATGACCTTATTTTGACAATAGCAACAACATAGAATTAATTTCTTTCTGAATTGATGCTTTTCCACAGAATTCATTCTTGTTTGAGAACTAGAACCATGTTGACGGCAGCAAAGGCAGACATCATTTTGGGTCAGACGTAATTCTTCTTTCAGTAATCTTGCGGCGAGATTGTTGAATGTCTGCTTGTTTTCTTCAAATTAACTCCAAGTTGCGATAAATGGTTCATATTTAGGAGGTAAGCTACCGAGAACTTTAACGATTCTATCAATATCTTTAACTTCTTCTCCAACGTCACGAAGAGCTTGTGGCATTGGCTCGATTTTACTGATATGTTGGGCGATACTATCATACTGGTCATTTGGTAGTTGAAAAACTTCTGCTTGAGTGTTCCTTTATTGATTGCTGATCGTTGTTCGCAGATTAATTTCAATCTTGATTACATTGAGGGAGCTGTTTGCATGTCATAATTGTTTGCAGTTGATCAAATTTTATTGAAACTGATATCAGAAGCATACCTCGAGCATTTATTTCTTTCCATTCTTTCATTACTTTGGGATCCGAATTTTTGTCGGGGCGTTGAGTTTTATTGGTGAATAGAGTTGACAGTCCTTCAACTTTGAATATGATTTCCATCTGATACTTTCACAACTGGAAGTTTCGGCCATTGAATTTTTGGATATTGAAGTGTTTCATCTTCTCCATCGTCGTTGCTGAATTGAATCTTCTATATTTCGAAGTAGCAGAGAATTACTTCAATGACAGTGACACTGATGTACGATATTTTCAATATTCAAAAACATTCTCATTTAATTAGATTTCGTTACCTGGGCCCGAAACCTGTTGTAATTTGTAGGAAATCGAACTGTAAACTCTACTGAACCAGGTTTTGATCATCAACATCAAAACGATACATTTAATATATTAACAATAACATAACGCACTTAATCAACAACCATTTTCAAGGCATCATTAAAAACAAGATCTATCAAATGAAGTGAACATTGATTTCTTCAACAGTTAGGAATTAGTTTAGTTTATTTGCTGATATACCAACTTGGCTGGTGAAACGTCGTCGAGAAAAGTGTTGCAATACCGGTTCTTTTATAGTTTAATCGGTCTTCTGAATCCACTCTATCGGTTTGTCATAATATTTATATAATATAATGTTGTATTATACTACAGCATATAGCAGATTTTTTTTTTTGAAAAATGCATTTCTAATATTATTCTATTCACCTCTACATCTCCCTTGGTGGATTTGGCTTGACAACTGAAGAGAGCACTTTGACCTCTTTGGACGATTACATCCTGGGGGTCTGTAACCGTCAGGGAAAGTGCAATATCTGGGGGGATAACCCCTCCTGTGAAGCCTGAAACGAAAATGAACATTATGACAGATCATCAATCAATCAATAATATAATTTATTGTCTGAAGATATCTCACTGAAAGTATTCAAAAATATAAAAATTAAAATATAGTCCTGTGGTGAATTTTTGCTGTGAAAATAATCGTAACAAAAAGGAATTGTACCCTATTTTCACTTATAAGTTCAGACAAAACAGCAAGTCATTTTGTAACTTTGGGCCCACATACATCAAATATCATTTAACGCTGGTTTATTTGTGGAATGACTCGATGCATCGAAAACAACTCTGAGAAGAGTGGTCGAAGAGTATTTTTTAATGACAGCGTGATGAGGGATGTAAAAATAATCAGTCAATCCCATTACAAGAGGAGGTGGTACTTTGGTAAGATGACCCTTTTGTAAATGATCATTCAAATCATTTGAGTACGACAAACATAGTTTTTCATCCTGAGATAGACATTTTTCCAAAGAAAGAAAACGACGTAAAGCAACCTCTTTTGTATTCCCAATATCCAGATTGGTTAATTTGAAGGGCAGAAAATGCATATTTGCCGTCAGTGCGGCGGGTGGTAGTTTTAATAAAATAATTCTCATGAAATCTATCTTCAGAAGAAACGGCCTTAATTTCGGCAACCTCCTCCAGAGTCCAAAATTTTTGTAATACATTATCTAATATCTAGTAAAAAATGAATTAACTTTTATGGTATCAAGTTTAGAAGATGTTTAAGGCAATTCATCCATAACAATCATTTCAAATACAGTATATTTAGATGCACCGGTTTATTTTCACCTAATGAAACTTTTTCATCTTTCAAAATGTAAGGGAAACTGTCATTACCTAAAAATAAATCTATGTAAGATTTTTCATTGAAATTAGGATCAGCTAATTTAACATTATCAATGAATGGCATATCATATTTTGAAAATGAAGTTCATCCCCAATTTTGTCTACAATTATCATTTCCAAAGTACAATACTCAGGTTGCTGATGATAAACCAGGGTCGATAATTTTTGAAACCAAAAAAAATAACAGCTGGATGAAACTCATTAGAAAAGGAGGGGAATATAATGAAAATGCAAGGAAAAATAAATTACGGGCGATCTGAGTTCGGGAAGTGGGAGGGGGTGAGTTTTTAAGGGTAAAAAATGGTTTATCTGGGTTTCTGGCAAAACTACAAGTCCTATGGAAAAAAGTGTAATGGCAAAGTAAAAAGAACCCTAATTTTCGATCGAAAATTACCGCGTCAAAATTCAGCTTTATTCAAAAAGTCGGTGTGCTTTGTTCGTTGAAATCTCTACTTTCTGATGGTATGAAAAAATTAACATTACTATAGTAAATGCTCTCAGAAAATTCAAAAAATCGAAAAACTCGAATTAGATTTTTTTTTAATCATTATGTACAATGTCATCAAGAAAATGTGATTGAAACAATTTTATTCAGTTAAAAAGTTTATTTATTATCTAAATTCTAATTATATTCATGTCATAGTAAATCTCGTAAAATATAAATATACACGTAAATCGTACTATTGAATTTAGATACTTCATTCTGATTACGTTATTAATTATAATATTTTAAAAAATGTTAATCTTTTTATTTATAAATACCTTATCTTGGATTTGTTTGATGGCATTTCTTCATCGTTAGATTCGACAAACCTTTTCAATTCTAGATGATCTTTGAAATCTTCAAGACCATCAGCTTTTTCGTCTCCAATATTATTTCCAGTCTGCATTGGTTCTTCATCCACAGTTTCATCCGAATCATTAACTTCCTCGTAGGTTTTTTCTTCCATATTGGAGCAATTTTCAGAATCATAACAATTTGAGCATAAATTTATGCATTTTAAACCATGTTTTCCACCGCCACTTTCACAAGCAATACTTCCGTAATTAATTCCTTTTCTATAAATTTGGGCATAATGACACGTTGATGTTGCTTCCAGCCCCAATCTGTTGCTGTCAGTTCGTTACCCAACCAAGTTAGAAGCTGATAATATGCCCTATTACATGTTGTTCTGCTGCTCCTTCTGTGGGTGGGAGGTTTGCCAAAATGAAAGATGATTTAATTTTTGCCAATGGATAATTTTGAAATAATAATTGATTCAGTGTTATTTTTTCATTTTTACATTTATAAATAGATTTGAATAATTGTAATCCATTTTTTTATATCTTCTTTACTTGCATCTTTCTTATAAAAAACATTGGCCAAATTTGATGAAGATCCATAGTAATTTTAAAAACCACACCTCACGATAGTTAAAAATAATAAAGAGAAAACATCCAAATTCGAGAAATCAGGAGTGTATGAATTAAAGTGTGGAACGTGCCCTAAGGTATATATTGGTCAAACGGGCAGAACATTAAGGAATCGAATCCAGAAACATCATACGAGCTATGTAAATAAGAAAACAAATTTAACATATTCAAATTATCTTTTAGAAGAAAATCATATCTTTAACGAAGAGTTCGTAATTTTGCACACAGAAAATAAAGGTTTGAAACTGAATCATTTGGAAGCAATGGAAATTAATAAACTTGAAAATTCAAACATTCCAATGAATGACCAACTGGATTTGAATAGATCACCATTATTGAACTTGTTTTCTTAAAAACCCAGAAAGAATTATTATTGATGTAGATGTGAGGTAATATGCTTCCATAATTGAACCTTAGGTAGAGATTTAGGTAATTTTTTCGAGGTAGTCTCAATTATGGTTACCTGTAGTATATAAATATTAATGTAAAAACACATGAGAAAGCTACTATGCTGGAAAAACATGTGATATATTTTTCAAATAAAGTTTGTGGAGATTAAATCGTGAGGTGTAGTTTTTGAAAAAAAAATGTTTAAAACTATGAGACGTAAAAAATAGATTCTTTACATTTCCAGAACCTGGTTTGATTATTTGAATTTAATTGATTTAAAAGGACCAACATATCAATATCTTGACTCACAACAATGACAGTATCTCTGGCAATTTCTTTCGAGGTCTTGATTATATCAGCATCTTCTTCTACTTGTTTATAGGAAAACCCTTATGACTGTGACCCTCCTAGCTTCTTTTCCACTTCTCTATGAAATTCCACTCAATGGGCCAACATTTTCCGTAGGTCACTCAGGTATATAAATAATTTTAAATCAGCAATAAATAGGCGCCTACAAATATTATTTGAAGATTTTACAACCTTCTCAAAATATTGTAGATGTCTTATTAAATATTAAGTTCATTAATTTATTTATTTGTTAATTATAGTAATATATTTCGATTTGCATTTTTTTCTTTTATCAATGTAACATGGAATCTTACGTTTTTTGAGTAATTAAAGTGTTAATTTTAATAGATAGCTCAAAATTGTACATAATGATTACAAAAAAAAAATCGAATTCGAGTTTTTTTTCGATTTTTTTACTTTTCTGAGAACATTAACTATAGAAGTGTTAATTTTTTTACACCATCAGAAAGTAGAGATTTCAACGAACAAAAAGCACATCGACTTTTTGAAAAAAGCTGATACTTTGACGCGAGAATTTTCGATTGAAAATTAGGAGACTTTTTTGATATTAAGTCAAAATAAGGTGAAAAACTGAATATTTCAAATCAAATGAATTACAGTGTATTTGGGACATAAAAAGGTAAGTTTTCACAAAATTCCGTAGAAATTAAAAAAATAAAACAAAAATACTTACCTAAAAACTTGGTTATTTGAATTTTTCACATAAATTTTGAGGTTATGTGAAAAAATTGTAAATACAAAAGTTGTAGATCTTTTTATTACCTACAACTTTGCCAATTAACTTTTTCCATGGGACTTGAAGTGTTGCCGGAAATCGAGATAAACAAAACTCAACCCCTCCCACTTCTCGAATTTAGATCGCCCGTAATTTATTTTTCCTTTCATTTTTATTATATTCTCCTCCTTTTCTAATAGGTTTCATCCTACTATTATTTTCTTTCAACTTTTTACCATTTTTGAATGCTTCAGCCTGGTCTATGACCCCTGACTGAGCAGATAAATACATTTCTCCCAACCCCTGTATTGACATAGATATTTTACACTTTTTCAAAGCCAATTTATCGGCTAGAGATTTGCGCTCCACAATCAAACACAGCACGAACAGTTAGCAACTGATCGAAATCATCTTTAATTTTCAGCATCTCTGTATAGATAAAAGTACCTCATAATTGGAGAAAGTTGAGAAATTTCCTTATTATTTGCACGAGAACCTGACGGATCAGGAGAATTCGAATTCCGATTCAAATCTATTTTTACTTTATTTTCAAAGTGCAATAAGTTATAATGTGATTTTTTACAAACTTCACATTGTCCAGTAGAAGAACACTACAAAGTGTTATGGTAGCTAAACAATTTATGCATGGTTTATTTTGTTTAGCGATATCAAATCTTTGTTTAGGACCTTTTGACTTGAAAATTGGACAATAAAAATAATATGATCAGCTGAACACAAAAAAAAAATTGTCCTTTCAGTAAGACTGAACAAGAAAAGCTGATTTATAACGAGCTGAATCGAAACTGATGGGTTTTTTGTGAGATGAACTAGAAATAATGAATTTATTTCAATTTTTTTGGCAAATTAATCAGCTGACTGGAAGTCTCAGCCGTAGATTCCAAAGCAATACATTGTTTTTCCAAAAATGATTGAAGATCATCATATTTGGGAATAGCATTCGAGGCATGTTTTTGTTCAAAATATTTCCGAGTCTGTCAATCTGAACGATTTTCGCAGCATATACGAAAAAATGAAATATCATTTATCCGTTTCCAAACCCATAATTTTCAACACAGAAATATTTTTTTTAAAAGAGAACATTAAATTTCTCAAAGAAGTTGCATTTTCAGTGAGCAAGCTTCTATTTTACTGCAGTGAGAAAAAGCATGTCCGCGCTTATTGTTGTATCGTTCTAAAAGAAGATTATAAGCCGATTGATAATTAGCAGATGTAACTGGAATGTCGTCAATCAATTCCAGTGCCGCAGCACTCATAACAGATATCAAGT